TCAATATACTTATATAGAGAACTTAAAAAAATGAATTGTTATAAATATAAACTTTTTATTTAAATTATTTTAAGATTTAAGAAAAGATTAATAATTAATGTACATAAATATACTTATGTAATTTAAATTAATTCTGAACTATCAATCTATATGGAAAGTGGATATCTTTATTTATGGAAGAATAATATATTTATTCTAAACTAAGATAATAAAAAATGATAAATTCAATATTTTAAATGAAAAATCTCTTCATTTATTTTATATTACTATAATCTACAATATCAAAAGATGATAATTGCTTAAAAATATATTCAGAGAATGGAGAAAACTTGATGTTCAATTTCAAAAATTGCTATTTTGTAGAATCACATATATAATCAAATTAAAGCAATCTCAATGAATCAAAATAATTAACTCAAATAATTGAAAATTTTCCATTAGAATTATATGAAGGATCAGCAGAAAATTTTAAAATTATTTTTGATTTGGAAAAGTAAGTCTTTAGATTAAGTATTTTGATTGTCAATTAATCTTATTTATCAATATACAATAGTTAAGAGTTTACTAGTTATAGCATAAATGATTCTATATTAGAATAACCTTAATTTAAAATAAAAACAATACATGAAATCTAGAATATTAGTTAATGTAATCAATTTGATGAAATAAAACCATTTAATTATTATATTTATTGTTTCTTTGATAATGTACTGAATATTTACACAATTGATTAATATAATTAAGTGAAACTCTTCATTCAAAAAAGTTTTTAGGATTTTACTTTTGATTTTAAGAAATAAATTATCTATATACAAGATCAATTAATTATTCAAGTTATTATTTATGATCAAGAGTAATGTAATATATTAAAAATTGATAAATTGAAATAAATCGAATCGATATTGAAGATAAATTAAAATACTCATAAATTTAAAAAAATTCTAGGAGTTTATTTTTATTAAAAAAATTTCTTATAGATTTATTTTGATGATGATTCTGTTATATTTAATTTATTAACTGGTAAATTTGAAATTAATTAGATCATTTTTTAAAGTAATTTAAAGAAATAAAGAGCCATTTATAGAATTGAAATTTCTCATATAATAAAGGAGAAATTTTAAATTGATAATTAAAATAAAACTATCATCTTATCTACTGAATATGAAATTCCATAATTTTTAATTTATTAAAGTAAACTTATTCTAATTTACTCTAACTAAATAGAAATAATTGAAGGTGGTTTTATTAGGTAGGTAATAGAAAAACCAATAAAATAGATTTATAGTCTTTATTCAAATTATTTAATTGGACTAGATAAATCTAATACTATATTTATATTGAAATTTAATTACTTATAATCTAATTACAGAACTTTTTTTGTTGATAAAAATAGATTTATTCTTTAATAGTATTGTTTATCTAATTTTAATTCGATTCAATATTAAGGTTGTTATGATATAAATTTTATTTCCTCTGAACAAAAATTAAATGAAATAAAATAAAAAAATCGTGATTTTATAGAATAAAAACACTTTTTAAATGTGAAAGCGTTAAATTGTGTTTTTACTTTAAATTAATAAATGATATTTAAAGAATTTTAATTTTACATCTAAGCTTTCAATAATCTTGAGTTTTAATTAAATAATGTAAATTACTTGATTAAAAAACATATAGACTTATAAAAATATTTTTATTATGCTTCTAAAACTATAATCATTTAATGTTAATAAAATTAATTGCTAATTATTTATAACGGAGCTGCAGATTAAGTAGAAAAGTTTCATTTATCTTGTGATTCTTCATATGGAAAAATTATTAAGTCTAATTAGAATAATTAATTATTTATTTTGACTAAAAATAATTATGGCATACATTATTTTTCTATTTATTTTACTGATGTAGGTGGAATTAAAACAGAATATAGAGGTTTAGTGAATTTATTGTTTAAGTTAACTAAAATTAGCCTTATAGGTTAATATCTTGTAGCCTTTCATTCAAATTGTACAATTTCATTATTCAATTATGCTATGCAATATGTGGGTAATAAAGAATTATTTATTAAGAATAATTTTGATTGGTAGTGTTCAATAGAAAATCTTTACATTATTGAAGACTAAAAATAAATCATATTTTATGAAAAAGATAAAATTGTTATTACTAATAATTGGAACTAAGAAATAAGAAAGATATACAATAAGAATTTTATTTGTTTAACAACATTAATAGTTAATAAAAATAAAGTTTTCTTCTGTGTACACTAATTTTATAATATAATATACACTTATGAATTATAATATGATGATTTAATTTAAATAGCAGAATTTAAATTACTTAATTACTAGATTAAGAAACCAATAAACTTTTAAGTTTTTTAAAATACTCTAATAATTGTTTGTACTTAAAATGAACATGTTTTTCTATTATATTTCATTTTATAAAATAATCAGATGATTTAGTTATCACGAATAATTAATGTTTAAAATTAAAATTACATCTTAAATGATTATAATTTAGTATTTGTAACAGAAGATAATAACTTAAAATATTTACCCATGAAAATATATGAATTTTAATTTCATTAATAATACTTATCTGAATATATTGAAAAAAATATAACTTTTTTGGTAGATTTTGTTGAGAATTAAACTTAAATTATAAGTAATTTTACTTTAGAGTTAAAATTGGATTCAACAATTCTTTATCCTAAGTTAATTGAAAATTACCAAAAGAGTTTAAAGATTAAAAGTAGAAAATAATTTATTATAAATTTTAGAGACTTTTTACAAGGTCCTATAGAAAATATAAAATTATTAAATTAATAATATGGAATATTGATAACACCTCATTTTGCTAAATTAAATTAAAGTAATTGTTAATTAAGATTAAATGATTTCTGTCTCTATAATGATGATTTTCATTTTCTCTTTGCCTTTAATGAAATAAAATAAATCTTATTTAATACAAGTTTAAAAATTTAAGCTTGCTAAGTTATGATAATATACTTTAATAACTAAAATAATCTAATAATAATAATCCATTAAAATGAAAATGGTAATTTAGAAATGTATTAAGATGGTAAAAATATAACATATTTTAAATTTCATGATTAAATTATAAGTTGGTTTCTAATAGATTAGTTATTATTAATTAAATCAACAAATTAATAAGTGATTATAAGAAATAACAATTTTTAGTTTATAATTGAAATATTAACAAATCATGAAATAACATTAGCTCGTATAAAATAATTAGAATATAACTATTACATTAAGCTTACAAATGTAAATCTTAATTTATATTAAATTAACATTACAACTATAAGAAATTAAGATCAAGAGATTATTTCCACTACAAAATTTTAATTAGATACTATTCAGATTTAAAATTGTTTTTAAGATTATTTAGCTTTTTAGAAATTCTACATATTAGAGGCAAACTATAATTAAACTAATTCTATCTTTTAATTTAAATTGATTTTTTTTTCTACTTATTATTCTCAGATTTGTCTATTATAATTCACTTAAAATAGTGTAATTTAATCAGTCTAAGCAGGTTCTATCAAATATCCTTTAAATTATGCATTTTCATCATTATTTTATTAAGATTAAAATTATTTTATATTGCAATTTTAAAATGACTTTTGGCTCTATAAAATTAGTGATCATCATTTAACTCATTATTATCCATTATTTAAATTTAATTCAACTATCTTAAATTTTCAAACAAATCATTCTGATTAGTGTTTATTTTTAAAATATAACATAAATTCATTATCTTTACTAATACTAAAAGGAGAATATGAATTTTTTATTGAAGTTGAAAAAAATAATTTCAGTTTAGAATTTCTAGCAAGCTATCATCAATAACAAACAAAATTCAAAATAATATTATTGTAAGAAAATATTGAGTCTTAAAATAACAATCTAAAATTTAATATTATACTAGTATTTGTGATTATTACTTTGTGTCTTATAATGTTTAGATACTTATATCTTAAAAATAAGAACAAAATTATAAATTATAAAACTAAAATTTTAGAATTAGAACTCAAAAACAAAGAATAAATCATAAATTCATAATTAGAAAACACAACAATTTGACAATTATATTAAAATAATTTATAAGATTTTATAGTTAGAATCTTTTTAGCTATTCTCTAAAAATATAAATATTTATATAATAATTTTTTGGAATAATTAAGGATATATTTAAGTAAAGAAATTCATTATGAAAAAAGATTTAATAAAATGAATAATTATTGAATAAAGGAAAAGATATCTCAATAAATTGTGTTCTTCCAAGAGCGATTACCTGTAAAATAATTTTGCTTTTTTGATATTGTAATATTATATAAGTTTTTTTAATTAAGAAGAACTCCTCCAAAATACAATATTATTGATTTCCAAGTAGAATAATCTTCCATGAAATAGATTTTATTAAAGTCTAATAGTTTAAAATTAAAGGAATCAAAGCAAGGGTTCCATTTTAATATAATAATTATTATAATAATGTTAATATTAAATAGGAGGATAAAATAAGTTGAAAATTATAAAATACTCAATTTATCTAATTACAATATACAATCGATGTACTTTTTAAAGAACAAAATTTTTATATTGAAACATTATAAACCATTTTACATATTATTTTAAGTATAATCTATGATTCTTAAATAGTTTAAGAAACAATTTAAATCATTTTTATAAGATTCTTGTTTTTAGATTATCATTAGAGTATTAAAATGATCTAAAATATATATAAGTATTATTTATAATTGAACAATTTATTACCAATTTAATTATTTGTTTTTGTAATAAAATGAAAATAGTTCATTATTTTCATTTTACAACTTTATCTTTAAAATTTTAACTTATATTAAAATAAGCTTTGATATTAATATAAATATATTTATTTATATAAAATTGATGCATATTATAAAAATAAAGAATAAATTAAAATAGATAGGAAAATTATTTTAATTTATAAAATAGCTTAATCTTTCAAACTTTAAAACTCAAATCATGTGTAATAAAACCTATTACATAAGCATTTCCCATTAATTTTTCAAATGGAAACAATGTTAAAAGTTTTTTACTATCTTAATATTGATATTTAACTTTCTCAATCATAATTTTAGTGGTAATCAATGAAATGCTCATAATTATACAAGCTAAAATAAAGATGGCTGTGTTAATTATAAAAGTTGAGTTTATCAAAGACTTGATTTATTTTGTTAGTATTTCAATTATTATTTAAAATCCATATTAAGCATATATTCTTTAAATTTGAATTAATGGATTAAAATAAGTGTATTTTAAAGAAATATTTAGACTTTTTGTAGAAATTGTTTATAAAAAATCAAATTAATTCTAATATAAACCTTAAACAACAGTACTTAAACCCTAATCATTATTAAATATTTATTAACATTACTCAAGATTGAAAATATTCTAATAATCTTCATAATTAAAAGACCTATTTTTAAAATTATTATTTACTATTAACTCTAAAACAAATTACATAAATCATCGATTAAGATTTCATAAACTTAAGAGTTTTGATCTTCTTGATATAAAGAAAGACTGGTACTCAAAGTGCCTAATTATTGTACAGCTAATTTATATGTATCTATCATTTCAGATGTTATTGTATGATTTAAGAGAATTGTTTATTAAGCAAAAGTGGATGCTAAAGAATTTAATGTTAATGAAAATGATGTTTTTTCTTGATATCTTGCTGATACACTTTATTAGGAAACTTATTATAAAATTAAACTTCCAATAAAATAAGAAGAACAAAAAAATGCATACATGAACACAAATATAAGGAATAAGATTTATGCTGGGTTAATTTCTAAATAATTATTAAAATAATCTACATTTCAATGAAATTTCCTTTCCAACTTTTTTATGTTTTTCTAACATATTGGATGTAACTGTTCTTTAATATTAACGCATCATTGTAGTTTCAAATTATTCTTCATTAGTTTCATAATTTTTAAATCTAGTGTTGTTTATTTAAGTATAAAGTGAAGTGAATTAAACAAATTGTTCTTAAATTAATTCTTTAGTAAAAGTACAAAACAATTTATAAATTTTCTATTTCATTCTTATTATTTGAGCAAAAAAATAAAGATATTGTGCAAGTAAAAGTAATAATATTGTTTCTTCAATAATTACGCTAAAATAAAAAAAACAATATAATTACAAAATTGATAAACTACGTAAATTTTATGTCGAATCTGTTTTTTCAATTTCATTAATTTAAATATTAAATGCATCAGTATTATTATAGAATTCAATTTAGTTGATTGAATAATTCATATTTAATACTTTAGTTAATTAGGATATAATATTCAATACTCTACTTTCCATAGTTAAATTATTGATAATATTAATATGAGGTAATAAAACAATAGTGTTATCAATATTTTTAATATTTATAAGGAAATATTAAAAAGCAATTTCACTTAATTTTGTAAAATTAAAATAATCATTAGCTAAGAAAGATTAGTCAATGATGAATTCATTATAGTAATAGGAAAACTGGAATGGTAAATTTTCATAGTTTTAATTTTCATGAATTTTCTCGAAATTAAAATACAATATCAAGTAATTAATAAGAAATCCTAATATTATTAAAACAAATATTAATAGAAGAAACAGTTTTGTTTTAATATTGATACCTTTTGAATCAATTAAACAATCTTTTATTTATCTTTTAAGAGCAATAGTGTTATTTTAAGATTATTAACTACTACCTATTGATCCACAATTATATTTAATATTTTAATCTTATGCATTTTTTTTAATATCTGAATCAATTTCACTAAAATCATTACTTTTATCTGAAGGATCATTTTAAAATTCATTTATTCTTCTTTCACTATTTTATAATAAAAATAAATCATTTAATTTATTTTGAGCAGTTCTATTAATATTAATAGATGCTAATTAATTTTTAAATTCTTCAATCATTTTAATATCTTCAATTAAATTGTCAGATTCTAAATTACATTCATTTAGAATGTTATCTCTATGAGCAGAATTCATAGTTGATAGATTAAAATCTGTTCTTTAGGTCTAAATTTCCCTTTATGGTTTAATGTTAATTAATAATGATGATCTAGTTCTTAATTAAATTAATTATCTACTACTTATTTTTTAATTAATTAATTATTTATATTCAGGAATTTCAATAATTACTAATCTAATCATAAATATTAAATTTACTTCAGATTTATAGTTGTTAAACTCATTAAATGTACTGAAATCTAATAAACAACATTATTATGAGGTAGATTTTCAAATTATCTAGCAATTCTTTATTGAATATTTTATTTTGAAAATATATTAGATTTAGAACGTGTACTACTTCTAAGAATTTATTTAGATAATAATGGTAAAATTAATTAACATTCAAGTCTTTTATCTAATTTTTCGAATTGATCATCAAATAAAGTATTCCAAATCTTAGATAATTCAGGAATAAAAATTAAACAATCTATTCCTTTAATTTAATCAATTTCATATCCTAAATGTTTCTCAAAAACATCTTCAAATAAATTTTATGTTAATTCTTCAATTTATCCTTATTCATTTAACATCATATATCCATATGTTAGATTTACTGGTGTAATTAACGCAGTAGCTCCAAATTCAGTTGAACTTGCTTCTATTCTTAATCTAGTATTAATAGGAACTACAAATTATGATTTATTTTTTCCTAAAATTACCCTTAGAGCATTTTTAACGACATTTATTCTACCTCTTTCAACAAAATTATCTAAATATAAATCATGATCATTTGCTATTATAGAAGGCATAAATTTATTTATATTTTAATCTTATATCTCTTCATCTTTATATCCTATAGCATTTGAGAATGATCTAGTATATCTTATTACATTTCCTCTAGGTTACATTAATGTTATTTATATTACACAACTACCAGGGTCATAAATTAACTTTTCTTCTGATTATAAAAATTGCATCATTATTTAACCTTCTCTTTTATACAATTTTGGTCTAGACTAATTATAATTCACATATTTATGAAATATATTAAAAATTGTATCGCATTCATTATTTAATGGATTTTAGCTAAATAAAAGTTAGAATTAATATTCAAGAGTTTTTATATTTTCTATTAATCTAAGGCCTATATCTAAAAGCTTATCAATATTAATAATCGATTAAAGAATACATCCATAAAAATCCTTTTTTTATTTTATTTATATATACCTTTTCTTATTTTATCACAACGCATAAATTATGTTTAACTGATAATAGCGATTCTTCATATTAATAAACTTTTTTAAAAACAAACTTTTAATTAACTAAATCATTCTTTTTTACTAATTCACTAAATTTTTATAAAGCATCTTATTTTAATTTTTAAATTATAGCATTTTATTTAATTGATTATTCCTTATTAATATTAATAATAGTAATACTTTTTATATAATAGAGAATCGAATAACTTCATAAATTGCTTAAGTCGGCACTTTTTTTATTTGAACTAAAAAGTATATGTATGTTAAAATAAGTTTATTATTTGTTTTTTCATTAATTTCATTTTCAAATTTTTATCCAATCAATCCTTTAGTAAATGATTTTATTGACTCAAAATTTTAAAAAGAATCCATTTTAGAATAATAGTCTTAACAAAAACACTTGTATTTTAATTTTTTATTTATTTGCATATTCTTTTCTCTTTATATTTTGCATTCTTTTATATGACTTGAGATAAATGTATAAATTTCTAATGATGATTTAGGATCTAAGTATCCTTTTTATTTTTTCAAATACATTTATTATTCAAATATAATGTATAATCTTCTTAGGTATTTCTCCAAATCTCCGTTCTAAAATTAAATATATTTTATATCTTATCTGATCAAAATTTCATTTGTTAGTAAAATCAAAAGAGGATAAAATAATAAAATTAATAATAAAATGCTAATATTTAATGTTGGTTAGCCAAATTGACATATAATCAATTAAATTTGATACATAAGCAATAATATTACAATTCTAAGATTATATCTTGATATTCTATAATCTATATATATTTATTAATTATAATCGCAAATTATTTATATTAATGATTTAATTATTCCTAAAATTTATACAAATAAAGCTGGAGCTTAAATACCAGACAAAAATATAATTCTAATTGTTTATTTAAAATAAATTATTACAATAATTAAAATCCATATAGAAGATGGAGTCTTTATGATTAAAATCTTCCTAAAAAATCAAAATTCTTCATTCTATGATCAAATTAATGTAAATTTATTAATGATCCAATTAATATCTATAAACCAATTAATATAAATCCACAAACAATACCAAACATTTCAAAATATCCTTTATTTTGTGTCTCTTGTTAAAAAATAAACTGTTTAAATAGATCAGATATTAAACTTATACCACAAAATAATAATGGGATTTATAAAATTCCATGATGAATCTAAAAAAAAAATGAGAAAATTTAATTTATTAGATAATTTTATTAAACCTTTGTTTCAAGATTCTAATTTAATTCTTTAATTTACCTTTTCAATAGCTAAATTTTGAAGATCTGTGTTTTTCACCAAAAATACTTTATTTTTAAATATCTACCATAGCAGTAATAAAATAATTAAGGTTTAAAATACAAATCCTCCCATAATAAAAATTATTCTTATGGTAATTGAATTTCCAATTATTGTATAAAATCTAATATATTATAAAATAACTTGACCTAAAATAATCTAATACATTCTATATATGATTTTAAAATTAATCGTATTCAAAGTCATACAATCTCTAAGTATAAATGGATAACATTTAGATATTCTCAATCACTATTATCACTACAGCAATTTTAAATGATTTTTTCCATGATTCTTTCACATTCAGAAACTCCTGAACATAATAACTTTTCATTTAAAACTTAATTTTGTTCATTTTTAATTAAAAGATTATTATAATACATAAATATGAATATTTTTTTCAAAGTACTTATTAAGACTTTTTAATCAAATAACAATTGCTTTACTAATTCAAACTATATTACTATAATTTAATTATTTGTTTCCCTTAGTTCTTTCTATATTCAGTTAGATTTATATAATTACTAAAATCAATATTTTCTTTTTGATTCAAAATATAATTCATAATTCTTTTTTTTGGATATTAGTAATTAATGGTCGGTCTCAAATAGAGTTTTCAAATCTTCTTATTCAAAAATAAACTTTCCCAACTCTAAAGAGTACTATTTTTATTAAAATAAGTTTCATTAATTTATTCTGATTTCGTATAATAAACTTTTTCAACTCAAAATCTTGCAAAATTTGGTCTCAGATCTACTCATATCAATTTGAACTATTTTTATCAATAATATTGATACCTTTTATAGTAATACTATACAATGTACTAATTAACTTAATATATTGACAATAATTTACCTGTTATTTAAAAACATGATGAAATGATACAAGAGCAAGTATTTTAATTAAATATATTCTTATCTCTGTAAAATCAATTTCATATAGACTTCAATTGTTTTCAAAATTAAAAAAAAAATGTATTTTATATGAAAAATTATTATGTCTAATAAATGATAATGTACATTAATTAATAGTTAATTGCAATTAGCATATTTCAAGCAATTATAAATTTATATCATATTCCATTTTATAAATATAAGTAATAGCAATAAATTATTATATCTTTTACTTCTCGATACAGGTCTAACTTAAATTAATTTAACATTAAAAAAGTTTTTCTTTATGTTTGACCTCTAGATTATATACTATCAAATTTGGTCTTATTATTTTTGTTGATACTTACAATTTTAAAAGAATATTTAAAGATATATTATATATTTCAATAATTTTAATAAATAATCTTTGATTTAATTATTCAATATCATTCTTTTTCTCTTGAATCTATTTTTTTAGTTAGTTAGAATAGAATAATATAAGCTATTAGTTTTTCTAAAAGATTATTTTTACAGGATGATACTTATGTATATATTTAGATTATTCTTTTCTCAGGTATCAAATCACTGTATTTTTTGGTGACGCAACCTTTAATAGAATCCTTCTTCTTTAAAATTATTTTATTCCTCTTCAGATGAGAAAAGAACCATATTAACTAAATATCTGGTACCCTATGATATTCTAATGCATGAATCATAATCATAATCATGTGGGCATATTATTTTTCATTAACAGAACGAATGAAAGAGGCCTTCAATTTCAGCTGTACTATTTCTTCTGCAAGATTTTTATTATACCAATCAACTTATGATTTTAAAATCTAATATTTAATTTTAGTAAGTTTAATAGAAAAATTAGAATGATTCTTACAAATTTTATATTCCAATTGTGTTTGAATAAAATTATAACGATAACAAACAAATTTGTTGTATCATAATGGTAGTTATTTCTTTATTTCTCCAAAAACAATTAAAATATCTTAATCTATGTATAATTTAGATAAAATGTAAGTATTTTGTTTTAAAAAACAAATCAATAATTTTTTTATTTTTCAATATTACTTTGATCGTTACATATTAAATAATAATAAACACATTGAAATGTATAATTTCTTATAAATTTCCTATAATTTTTTAGTCTTTATACTGACTCTTATAAATGCAATTAATAACTATTTTACAAAATTAACTTTGAATCTATAACATAATTGAAACAATTTCCTAGATCTATATGTTGGATATCGGCATGTTCATAGTGTGATAAAATTCTTTCTAACAAATTAGATATACCTGTTATTGCTAAAATAAAGCAATATTCAGAAAAATGTTCTTCAAAACTTTTTAATAGTTTATTAGATGCATTGGATAATAAATGCACTTAATCAATGATATAAATGCCTTTAATAGCATAAAAGGCTGTAAATAATAAAAATAAGTCATATCATCCTAATTAGTATAATAATATTAATATATCTTAATGTAAATTTATCATTGTAAGTATGTTATTTTTGTTTTTAAATTATCTTAATTTA